GTTTTAGAAAGAACCTTGTTTCAGTTTCTAAACTCGTTATGGATGGTTTTTCAGTTTCGTTTGATGACATGGTTATTATTCGTTTTGAAAATCGTTTCATATGTTGTGGTTCATTAGTTGGCAATTTATATGTTCTCAAACCGAACTCTCCCACAGTGCAACATAATGAATTGAATAATGTCATAACTACATCTAATAAGAGGAAGGAGTCTTCGCAGATGAATCAAGCATATCTGTGGCACCTTAGACTTGGACACATCAACCTTAGGAGGATTCAAAAGTTAGTGGCCAGTGGACATCTCGGTCCATTGGAAGAGCACTATCCAACTTGCGAATCATGCCTAGAAGGTAAGATGGCCAAGAGGCCGTTTACGGCAAAGGGGTATAGGAGCCAAGAAGTGCTAGGATTGATTCATTCTGATTTGTGTGGTCCTATGTCGATCCAGGCTAGAGGAGGTTTCGAGTACTATGTGTCTTTCATAGATGATTACTCGAGATTTGGGTACGTTTATCTGTTGCACCGCAAGTCCGAATGCTTTGAGAAATTCAAGGAGTATCGGGCAGTTGTGGAGAAGCTTCATGGTAAATGTATCAAGTCACTTCGTTCTGATCGAGGTGGCGAATACCTTTTTGGAGAGTTCAGGACATACTTATCGGAAGCTGGGATTGAATCCCAACTGACTGCACCCGGCACGCCCCAGCAGAACGGGGTTGCAGAGCGAAGAAATAGGACACTTATGGAGATGGTTAGATCTATGATGAGTTATTCGAGGTTACCAGATTCGTTTTGGGGAATGGCGCTGGAAACAGCATCGTACATTCTGAACTTGGTTCCATCGAAGTCAGTTGATACTACTCCTTACGAATTGTGGAAAGGGCGTAGGCCAGGCTTTTCACATATTCGGGTATGGGGTAGTCCTGCACACGTGTTAGTGCAGGAACCTGGCAAGTTGGAGAAACGTTCGGAAGCACGAGTTTTCGTAGGCTATCCCAAGGAAACGAAAGGTGGATTATTTTATAGTCCCGGGGATCAGAAGGTGATCGTTTCGACGAACGCTAGATTCTTGGAAGAAGACTATATTATGAATCATAAGCCCGCGAGTAGACTAGTCTTAGAGGAGTTAAGGGGTGAAAGCGATGGTTCCCCACCGAGTGCGCAAGTAGATACATCACATAATACTGCAACACGACACACTGAGAGTGTACCAGTGCAGACAGTGCCTCGTCGCAGTGGGAGGGTTTCTCATTTACCCGACCGATGGATAGGTCTTGGAGAGTCGTCAGACTCAGTTCCAGGAGGCCTAGAATCGGACCCAAGAACTTACGATGAGGCACTCCAAGATAAAGATGCAGATTCATGGAATGTTGCAATGAAAGCTGAAATGGGGTCAATAGACTCCAATCAGGTCTAAGATCTTGTAGAACTACCCGATGGGGTACGACCCATTGGATGTAAGTGGATCTATAAGAGAAAGAGAGGATTGGATGGGAAGGTGCAAACCTTTAAAGCTAGGCTTGTTGCGAAAAGTTATACTCAGATCGAGGGTATTGATTATGATGAGACCTTTTCGCCAGTAGCTATGCTTAAGTCCATTCGGATTCTCTTGGTTGTAGCCGCTCATATGGACTATGAGGTCTGGCAGATGGATGTCAAGACAGCTTTCCTTAATGGGAACCTGTAAGAAGACATCTATATGCAGCAACCAGAGGGATTCATTGCTGAAGGTCGTGAGCATCTAGTGTGTAAGCTTAATCGGTCTATTTATGGACTGAAGCAAGCGTCGAGATCTTGGAACATCCGTTTTGATGAGGTGATCCAGTCGTACGGGTTCACTCAATGTCCGGATGAGCACTGTGTTTACAAGAAAATCAGTGGGAGCGTGGTGGTGTTTTTTGTGCTTTATGTAGATGACATACTGCTTATTGGAAACAGTAAGAAGAAGTTATCAGACGTAAAGGTGTGGTTGTCTAAGCAGTTTGATATGAAGGACTTAGGTGAAGCAGGACACATTCTTGGTATTAGGCTCATTAGAGACCGTAAGAAGAGAATGTTGTGCTTATCCCAGTCTTCATACATAGATACTGTCTTAGCCAGATTCAGCATGCAGGATTCCAAGAAAGGTATGTTACCTTTCAGACATGGAATACCTCTATCTAAGGAGATGTCTCCTAAGACGTCTAAGGAGATAGAGGAGATGAAGACAGTTCCTTATGCTTCGGCAGTAGGTAGTCTCATGTATGCTATGCTATGCACTAGGCCAGATATTAGCTACGCCGTTGGCATGGTAGCTAGATATCAAAGTAATCCAGGACGGGAACATTGTTCTGCAATGAAGCATATACTCAAGTACCTGAGAAGGACTAAGGAGTACATGTTAGTTTACCGTGCAGGCAGCTTGTTACCTCTGGGTTACAGTGATTCCGATTTCCAGTCAGATAAAGATGAAAGTAAGTCAACCTCAGGTTATGTGTTTACCTTGGGAAGTGGAGCCATTTCATGGAGGAGTGCTAAGCAGAAATGCGTGGCAGACTCCACCATGGAAGCCGAGTACATAGCAGCCTCAGAGGCAGCGAAAGAGGCAGTATGGCTCAGGAACTTCTTACACTACAAGAAAAAGGACTTCTTGCAACATAAATATAACGACTTTTCTAATAAGTGTAACTAGAATCAAAGTTATTGCGACGCTTTTTAAAAAATGTTACAAAAATAAAATAATTGCAACACTTTTTTAAAAAGTGTAATGGAATAATGATGCTTTTAAAAAAATATCGCAATTTCACCAGTTCTGAGACATTTATTTAAAAATGTTGCTAATTTATGACAATTTATGAAATAGTGTCCCCAATTTTATACAAATGGTGACACTTTTTTGAAAATTTTGAGACATTTATTTAAAAATGTTGCTAATTTATGACAATTTATGAAATAGTGTCCCAAATTTTATACAAATGGTGACACTTTTTGAAAATGTATTTAAATATTACCTTCTTTTTTTTTTCAAAAGCTTCACTTTATTTATAAATACGATGACATTTTATGTGACATTTTATGTGTTAGTTTCTGACTTTCTTAATCTCATATGTCAATTTGTGGTTTGCAAAATAGTCCATGTAGATTTGTAATTTTATTCTTGCTCATTAAGAACATTAAAACTATAGAACACTTGGTAAATTAAATTATAAATTATGTTAAAATTAATATTATCATATCAAATTAATGTTAAAAAAATTATAAATTATGTTAAAATTAATAATTTTTTATATTATCATATCAAATCAATATTTTTATAATGATCTATAAAAAATACAACATTTAAGAAATATTTAGAAAATTAAAATAAATTTATTTTTTAAAAACTATTTCAGGTATAAATTTTTTTATTTAGCACATGTATTACATTGATGTTGGAATACTAACAGTATTTGTACAATTTCAAAGTTTAAAACTATTTATATATTAAGTTTAATATACACTTATACATTTTATCCCCATTCCAATATAATATATTAAGTTACAACACTTATATATCAACTCATCCACTCCCCCTATATTACCAAATCGCTCGTCGACTTCCTCACGAACCCTAGCTACACGTTCGTCGGGATCGGCGTGGATCAGGACCTGGAGAAGATCGGGGAGAATTACGAGTTCGGGTTCAACACCAACACAGTGGAGGACCTGGAGAAGATCGGGGAAAATTACGAGTTCGGGTTCAACACCAACACAGTGGATTTGAGGGGCATAGCGGCGGAGAGATACGGGAGGGCAGAGCTGAACTGTGTGGGGCTGAGAACCCTCATCGGCGTTGTGCTGGAGAGGGATGGTGAACCGGAGGGCGGTTACGATGAGTAGATGGGACAATCAGTGGCTGACGCCGGCTCAGGTTCAGTATGCTTGTGTTGATGCATTTGTCTGCTTTGAAATTAATAGGATTCTTGATGCTTCTTCGTTTTAATCTTATTCATCGTCTATTTGCCCCCAAAAAAAACCTAGAAAAGTGGGGATCGCTTTGTGAATAATTGGGATGATTGACTTCTGTGACTTGATATGAACATGTGAAGAAAATGGGGAAGTTATATTGCGAGTGTTCACACTAGGGGCGGTACCGTAATTACTTGGTTTGTTGCGTTCACACTTAAAGAGTTGGTTAATTACGGTACCGCCCCTAGTGTGAACACTCGCAGGGACGAGGTTGTTTATATACTGCGAGTGTTCACACTAGGGGCGGTACCGTAATTACTTGGTTTGTTGCGTTCACACTTAAAGAGTTGGTTAATTACGGTACCGCCCCTAGTGTGAA